GCTGCTGCTGCTGCTGCTGCTCGTGCTCGTACTCCACACCCAAACCAACACGCGCGAAGAAAAGTCAAAGCGGCGTAGCGCACCTTCCACCAGCAGAGCTGTCCATCATCACCACAGGAGGTCGACGTTATTCCGGTCCACTTCCACATTCACACTCACACCCGAGATGAGCGACAGCAAGGACAAGGCAGCGGCGCCTGCGCCAGCTGTCGCCTCGGACAGCAAGGTCAACGAGATCGCCTCTGGAATGTCAGGGCTCATGTCGGGCAAGGAGGGTGCGGCCAAGCCTGCTGCGGACGATGCTTCCGGCGCCAAGGAGGAGGCGAGCGAGTCGAATCTGCGCGAGTCGTCGCACGAGGTGCAGGTGACGCTGGCGGACCAGCAGGCGGACCCCAACTCGCCGCTGTACTCGGCCAAGAGCTTCGAGGCGCTCGGGCTGCACGACAACCTGCTCAAGGGCATCTACGCGATGAAGTACCAGAAGCCAAGCAAGATCCAAGAAAAGGCATTGCCGCTGCTGCTGCAGAACCCGGCCAAGAACATGATCGGCCAATCGCAATCCGGCACGGGCAAGACGGCCGCCTTCATCCTCACCATGCTCTCGCGCATCGACTATGCACTCAAGAAGCCGCAGGCGATCGTGCTTGCGCCGTCGCGTGAGCTCGCACGCCAGATCATGGACGTGGTGCGCACGATGTCCAAGTTCACCGATGTGACCACGTGCCTCTGTCTGCCGGACGAGGTGAAGCGCGGCGAGAAGATCGATGCGCAGCTCATCGTGGGCACGCCAGGCAAGACGTTCGACATGATCAAGAGCAAGGGCATCGAGACGGCGGCGATCAAGGTGTTTGTGCTGGACGAGGCGGACAACATGCTGGATCAGCAGTCGCTCGGCGAGCAGTCGATCCGCGTCAAGAATACGATGCCCAAGACGTGCCAGCTGGTGCTCTTTTCGGCTACGTTCCCGCCCACGGTGTACGACTTTGCGGTGCGCATCGCTCCGGGAGCCAACGAGATCCGCCTCAAGCAGGAGGAGCTGTCGGTGGAGGGCATCAAGCAGTTCTACATGGACTGCCGCGACGAGAACCACAAGTACGAGGTGCTGGTGGAGCTGTACAATCTGCTGACGATTGGGCAGAGCATCATCTTCTGCGCCAAGCGCGAGACGGCCGACCGGATCGCGCAAAAGATGACCGCCGAGGGACACAAGGTGGACTCGCTGCACGGCAAGCTCGACACGCAGGAGCGCGACCGCACCATCGACGCCTTCCGCGACGGCAAGAGCAAGGTGCTCATCTCGACCAACGTGATCGCGCGTGGTATCGACATCCAGCAGGTGACGCTGGTGATCAACTACGACATGCCGCTCACCCAGACGGGCGAGGCCGACGCCGAGACCTACCTCCACCGTATCGGCCGCACGGGCCGATTCGGCCGCAAGGGTGTTTCGATCAACTTTGTGCACGACCAGCAGAGCTGGACTTACATGGATCAGATCGAAAAGGCGCTCCAGTGCCAGATCACGCGTGTGGCCACCAACGATCTCGAGGAGATGGAGTACACCATCAAGGAGGCGCTCAAGCAGATTGCCAAGTGAGCCGGCCCAACCCAACATCCATCGCGCCGGAACCGTCCCGAACGTGTACTGGTGACGTCTTGATCCTGCAATTGCACTACATACCCGATCGTGGACCCATGCCTGGATGACGGCGAGCACCCCGACCTGATGGAAGCTCGGCGAGTCAGGGTCCGGTCTACGAGTGCGCCATGTGGAGCGCGGCCACCGGCCGAGGTGTCCGAGTGCCTTTTGTAAGCGCAGAGTGACACGCAGCGGCATGAGGACCGAGCACATAAAGTATGCAATGACCGCTCTGACTCGCTTGCGGTCGCTTGCTCATGACTTGCTTGTGACTCTGGGTCGCAGGGGAGGCCTCTTCCTCTCAGAAAGCCAGCCCGACGGAGCGTCGTGTGGTCGGCTGTGGTCGGCTGCGAATTTTTGAAGTGTTAGAGCGATGTCGAATCGGATGTTGGCGCTCGAACGATCGCACGACGGCCAAGGACCGGAGGGACAGTCGATTTGAAACCCTCGCAGTTGCTGCAGGTTGAAATTGGCCACGGAGATAGTCCGAAAGCCCACGGCTGAATTGGGCGGCGCGGCTCGCCTGAAAGCCGGAGGAGAGGGGACTGGAAGCGCGACCGAGCCGGTCAGGAGGAAATTCAGGGAAACCCGCCGTTTGCCACTCGAATGCAGCCAGGCGGCCACAGTGGCAGAGGGTGGCGGGCGTTCGGCAGAGGTTACCGGCTAAGTGGGCGCTGACTGCGTTCGCTGGGGAGGGGCGACTCAGAAGATCGATTCGCTTCTATCTCCGCCTCACAGAAGGAGAGGCAGACAGGCAGACAGGCAGACAGGCACGCCATCCCACGCAACACCGGCTCCGCTTTGTCCGTTCATGAAGCAGGCTTTGACATCCCCACACTTCCTCTCTTCACCACCACATCCCCAGCATCCTCAACGCCGGCTTCGTCTCCAGCATCTCGCATCAATCCTTGCGCATCAGTCCCTTGCTGCCGCACACTTATATGAGCCTAACCCGATCGACTCTTCGTTCGGTTACGTTCAACTCGACCCAAGTCGCCCACGTCTTCAAGCGCACCAGCAGCTTTTCGCATCCGACACTCCGAGCCTACTACTCTACGCACTCGCGCTCCAACCGACCTCGAACCATCCGGGCCACCGCACCTTTCGCAGCGCTTTCTGCCGTCTCGCTTCGCAACCAATCCACCACCTCGCACACTTCCGACAACATGACTGAGCACGCCAACGGTACCAACGGCACCGCCTCGTCGTCCAGCGGCAACAAGGTCCACAAGGTCGTCATCATCGGCTCCGGCCCTGCCGGTCACACCGCCGCCATCTACCTGGCGCGTGCCAACCTCGAGCCCGTGCTCTTCGAGGGCATGCTCGCCAACGGCCTCGCCCCTGGCGGACAGCTCACCACCACCACCGACGTCGAGAACTTCCCCGGCTTCCCCGATGGCATCCGTGGTCCCGAGATCATGGACAAGTTCCGCGCACAGTCCGTCCGCTTCGGCACCGAGATCCACACCGAGACCATCTCCAAGCTCGATCTCTCGTCGCGCCCCTTCAAGTTCTGGCGCGAATATGCCGAGGACCAGGCGCCCGAGCTCACCGATACCCTCATCATCGCCACCGGTGCCAGCGCCAAGCGCATGCACCTTCCGGGCGAGGACACCTACTGGCAGAGCGGTATCTCGGCCTGTGCCGTCTGCGACGGTGCCGTGCCCATCTTCCGCAACAAGCCGCTGGTCGTCGTCGGCGGCGGTGACAGCGCGGCCGAGGAGGCCATGTACCTCACCAAGTACGCCTCGCACGTGCACGTGCTCGTGCGCAGAGACGAGCTGCGTGCGTCCAAGATCATGGCCAAGCGTCTGCTGGCGCATCCCAAGGTGACGGTGCACTTCAACACCGTGCCCACCGAGGCCAAGGGTGACGGCGAGCTGCTCAAGGCCGTGCGCGTCAAGGACACCAAGACGAGCGAGGAGCGCGACATGGACGCCAACGGCCTCTTCTACGCCATCGGCCACTTGCCCGCCACCTCGCTTGTCAAGGGCCAGGTCGACCTCGACAGCGACGGCTACATCATTACCACCCCAGGCACCGCCCAGACCTCGGTCAAGGGTGTCTTTGCCGCCGGAGACGTCGCGGACAAGAAGTACCGCCAGGCCATCACCAGTGCCGGCACCGGCTGCATTGCTGCGCTCGAGGCGGAGCGCCTGCTCGCAGAGGAGGAGGTGCTCGACCCCGTCGACGCCGCCCAGGCCAACCACTACACTGGCACGGACAAGGAGTAAATGTGCCGATGCACGTGTCCGCCTCTTCCAGTACGATATAGAACAGACGCAGTGCGCACGGTCGCCAGACCACCTCGACGGCTCACGGAACTGCCGTTCTGTCATCTGGCCCGCCTGTGCCGTGCGGTCTTTATGCGACGCCGCCTCATCACATCCTCACGAAACGGCGCTCTGGCGTCGCTTTGGCTCGGTTTCCGTCTCGTTGGCATCCATTGACCACAGTAATCACAGCAACTAAAAATGGCTCCGCTGGGTGTGTGCTCGCGCGTGTGACTGTCATACTGATGCACGCCTGTCGTGCCTGTGCGTGTTGCGTGAGGACAATGAGCCGAAAGAAGGGTGAACGGTGGGGCCCATGTGGGGCATTGGTGGAGAAGGGAGGTCACGTGACGCGACTGGCTGGACGCCAGGCGGCGAGTTTTGCGCCTTCTCGTCCGCAACGGCAATTTTGTGCGGCTTCGGGTGCATTGCGCAAAGCTGGTCTGACCGCTGCCTCCTCTTGCTCTCTCATTACCGACTGGGCTTATCGAAACGCTCACCACTGGCTACCGAACCAACCTCGGAGAGGAACGACGCAGCACACTCCCGTCTCGCAGCACTGTGGCTCCGCCGATACCACCAAAACAGCGACCTACCTTAGTAGCCGCGTCAACCCCTGGACTCCGCGCGCAGACGGATCGGAACGTCATTGCAGCTGCACTCATCGCGTTCCGCGGCATCGATCAACGAGTCAGACCGAGCATCCCCGTCGTTGCTCCAGCCGCTTCGAACGAGCAAGCGTCTTGAGATCCGCCGAGGCCGTCCCACTTGGGTTCCAGCCTAGCAGCCCGCCCTGACCTCGCAGCCAGCAGCGTGAGTAGCTGCGCGACGCTCTGTACGCAATGGCGTTCTTCTCATCTGCATCCACAACCAACACGTTTGGCGCGCGGCCAGCCGCCACGCCTGGCCAGATCAACACGTCTGCGGCGTCCAAGACGACGGGCGACCAGGACCAGGAGGTCACGCCCGGTGCCACGGACACGGTGAGCGCGCTCGCCTTTTCGCCCACCGCCGACTTTCTCGCCGTGGCGAGCTGGGACAACAACGTGCGCATCTACCAGATCAACAAGACGTCGCCCACACCCGTGCAGCCATGGCAGCAGTACTCGCACGAGGGTCCCGTGCTCGACCTGTGCTGGAGCACCGACGGGAGCAAGGTGTTTTCGGCGGGCGCCGACAAGGTGTGCCGCATGTTTGACATGAACACCAACCAGCCCGCTGTGGTGGCGCAGCACAACGACACGATCCGCAGCGTGCGCTGGCTCAACGTCGCCGGCGGTGTGCTGCTGACGGCGGGGTGGGACAAGCAGCTCAAGATCTGGAAGATCGACAATCCAGCCTCGCCGCAGGCGGTGCACTCGCTCACGCTGCCCGAAAAGTGCTATGCGATGGACAATGTGCAGAACGTGGTGGTGGTGGCGATGGCCGAACGCATGGTGCTGGGCTTCCGTCTGGAGGAGACCGGCTCGATCACGCCGCTGACCGAGCAGCAGAGTCCGCTCAAGTACCAGACGCGATCCATGGCTGTGCTGCCGGACGGCGACGGATATGCGCTCGGCGGTGTCGAGGGCCGTGTGGGCGTGCAGTACTTCCACGATCCGCCAGACAAGGACAACAAGGTGAAGAAGTTTGCCTTCAAGTGTCATCGTCGTGCCAATGCGGACCATCCCGAGGTGCCGCGCAACGAGTCGCACATCTATCCGGTCAACTGCATCGCCTTCAATGTGCACGGCACTTTTGCCACGGGCGGTGCGGACGGCTCGATCAACTTTTGGTGCAAGCAGTCGCGCACGCGTTTGAAGACCATGGAGACCAAGGGTCCCGCCAACGCACCCAAGGAGCTGCTCAAGACCAACCCGGCCAAACAACCCATCACCGCCATCGGCTTCAACCGCGACGCCACCATCTTTGCCTACGCCGTCGGCTACGACTGGCACAAGGGATACCAGGGCGCCGGTCAGGTGGAGCCCAAAATCTACATCCAACCCGTCAAGTACGAGGATGTGCAGAAGAGGCCTCCCAAGGCCTGAGTCGCTTTGCCCTTTTGACAATGGTAAGCATTCATACGAGTCTGAGCGCCACCATGGGTTGTGTACGGATTGCGATTCTATGGATGTGAGATCTATATCCGGAGGGGGTTGAGGATTAGGCCGAGTTGAGGATGAGGTCGAGGATGGCTTTGGCGCGAGCGGGGATGGAGGGAGCATAGGCGAATCCGACGAGGGCGTTGACGAAGCCCCACGATCGGGCTGGCTTGTGCATTGGATAGTCGAGTGGGGGCGGGATGCCTGTTTTGAGGAGGCTGAAGAGTCGATCGCGCGTGACGGCCTTTGGCTGCGTCAGAGCCAAGAGCCCTTCTGGCCCGGCGAACCTGCCGTAGCCGCTCTTCTTGACGCCTCCAAAGGGAAGGCCTTGGTTGAGGTAGCTTACGCCAAAGTCGTTGATGTTGACCATGCCGGCGTGGATGCGCGCGGCAATGTAGTCGCAGTGCGCACGTGTGGCGGAAAACACCGACGAACCCAACGCATACCTCGTGGAGTTGGCAATGCCAATCGCTGCATCCAGGTCGCCCGACTTGAAGGGCATGACCACAAACACGGGTGCAAAAAGCTCCTCGTTGGCAATCGCCATTGACGTCGTCACTCCCACCAGCAGCGTCGGCGTAAAGTAGTGTCCCTGCTTCCACTTTGGATGCTCGAAGCGTTTGCCACCGACGAGAAGCTTGGCGCCCTGACGAACCGCGTCCTGGATGAGCTGCTCGAGATGTGCAAAGCGCGCATCGGTGATCATGGCGCCCATGTCGACGCGCTCGCCCTTTTGCCCACCGCGCGAAGAGGCGCCAAACGGCGCATCGTCCATGAAACTGCCGAGCTTCAGATCGCGGATGCGCGGCTCGACGATGGCCACGAGCCGGTCAACGATCGCCTCGTCCACAACGAATCGTTCGATGCCGATGCAGTTCTGACCGGCGCCCTGGAAGCAGCTGCGCATAAATGTCGAGCCAAAGTACTTGAGGTCCGCATCGCGCAGCAGGATAGCGGGATCCTTGCCGCCCAACTCGAGCGTCACGGGGGTAAGCTCCTTGGTGGCCGCCTGCGCCACGAGTCGACCGACATGCTCGGAGCCGATGAAGGTGAGATGGGCAATATCGGCGCTTTGGGTCAGAGCCTCGGCCTCTTCAGGAAAGCAGGTTACGAGCTGTACGAGCTCCGGGTCGCATCCGGAGGCGCGCAGACACTCGCGCACGGCGTCGACAAAGTAGTGCGCCGACCAGGCGACGAGCTCGCTCGCCTTGACCACGATGGCGTTGCCCGCGAACAGGCTGGCGATGATGGGGCCGAGCACGTTGTGTGCCGAGTAGTTCCAGCTGACGCACGCCCCGACGACGCCCATGGGCTCGTGACGCACCTCGCACACCTTGTGCATGAGCAGCAGATTGTTGGGTCTCGTCTCGGTCTGCAGCACGCGCTCGCCATTGCCAATGGTCCAAGCGAGCTTGCTGCAGGTGGTGAGCAGTTCGCCGAAAGCGGCGTCGATGGCAGTCTTGCCGGTGTCGCGTGCAGCGACTCGAGTGATGGTCTCTGCATCGCGAACCACCCACCGCTGCATGGTGCGCATCAGCTTCCTGCGCACGGCGAACGAAGAGCTTGCCCACGCAACCTGCGCCTGCTTGGCGCGCGCGATCTTTTGCGCGATCGTCTCGCGCGTGTCTGCATCGACTTCTCCAATCAGGTACGCCGTAGCGGGGTCGTAGCAGATGATCTTGCCCGGCTTGGCAGCGTCGCGGATGTGCGGCTTTTCGAGCACGGTGGATGACCAACCCGGCTGCGCCTGCGGTGGTGCGCGGATGGACACTGACGCACCCTGTTCGGCGAGGTAAGCGGTGAGGTACGACCCGACGCGCGAGACGAGCAGGATGATGAGGCCGGTGAAGATGAGCCCCGTGGGCGAGCGCACGGCGCCCGAACGCAGCGCGGGGAAGAGATGGAAGAGGTAGAGATCGGTCTGGAGGACAAAGAGCTGAATGTGGTGCTGCAGCTGCTCGCCCAGCGCCGAGACGCCCGGCCAGGAAGATGCGGTCATTGCGGCCTGGTCGACGCTATCGCCGTAGGGCAGAGGTGTTGGGGCAAAGGTGGCACGAAGGATGAAGGGCAAAGACACAAGTGTGCGTGTGGTGCATGGGCGTACGGGTGTGTTGGATTTGGCTCAAGAATAGACTTGTCGGCGTTCGCCCTGGGAAGAAGCTCGAGAAGAAAGCGGCGTCGGTCGCGCGTGCAGCCGTACGCCCTGGCACCGAATCATACGAGCCCAACGCCGCCGCCCCACTGACACATGCTCGCCACGCGGGGGCAGCGCGCGCCGGGTGGCAGCTGTCAGCCGCGTCAAAATTCAAGGCAGACATTGCAGCGCTAATCTAACAAAATATATCCCTGCATCTGTGATCTGACGACCCGATCCACATCCATCGCTACGGTATCGGAGGCCGACCGAGTGGATGCCCTGAACCCACGGTTTTGGAAGCCAGCCGTTGCGCAAGTGGCGGGAACGGATATTGACAGTCTAGAAGCTGGTGCGATAAGCGCTGCATGAATTCGGGAAGGCGACTGCGAGAGGCGAGACGGTGAGGAATGCTTGGCAGCTTGCGCAGGCGGTCAAAACCAAAAACGTGGAAGATGCCGACCCACGCGAAAGGATCTCGCATGCGAGTGTAGTGGATCATGTCAAGCCACACCATCGGGAGATCCGTGCGGGGGGCGCCAAGACATGCCAGCGCCAGTCCAGTGCGAAGAGCAGGTGCAAATGCATCGAGCTAACTTACAGTAGATCTAATTCGCACATGCCTCTGTGCGCGAGTCTTGGCAGGTTTAGGGCCCCCCCTTGCTCTTCTTGGCACGCGCGTGTCAAGCCAACCCGGAGCCTTTGAGCTTTGGAGAGACACAAGTGCAGGCTTTCCGATCGATTCGACATGGGAGCCAAGTTTGCGTCTCTGGCAAAAGTTGCGGATGCAAAGTGCCAGAGCCATGCGGAGCGGGGCCGACCTCGAAGCTGGTCTGATACAGCGGCCAAGCAGCGGCCAATTTCGGCAGCTCGAGACGCCGACAGAAAGCAGCCAACCAAAAAATCGCAACCGCTGCACGCGGGGCAGCGCGATGAGGTCAATCAGAACCCCAACGCACCCACGCCGTCTGGGCCCTCCCAAAAAGAACTACTGCCCGCCAAAATTGGCATTTTGTTGCATTTCCTGCCGGCCTCGCGACGCTACGTCACCCCCCGAAAGCAACCACGCTGCGAAACCAGCAGCAACCAGCAGCAACCAGCCAGCCGGGCGTGCCTGATCCAGCTACAAACGATGACCCCCGTGTGCTTCCTGCTGCTGCTGTTGGTGTTGTTGAAGCCCAAATTGAATCAAGTGGGAGCCGCTGGGCTGGTGTGTGGGGGTGCTGCTGGACCATGCATGCATGCATATCAGTCCAACGCAATGCAACAAGATCGGTTGCGGACCAAGACGTCGGTGCTGGTCGGGTGGGGTATGGCGTGCAGGCAGTAGACCTTGCGTTTGACAGCAGAGAGCGTATGTGCGAGGCATCATCATGTGGCGGCGGGCGAGAGCAGAGCGTTGACCTCGCTTGACGCAGTGCCATTTCTTGGCGCGGGCCCATGCCAAAATTGCCGCTCATTGTCGCTCGACGCCCGCCCAACTACGCACCGCTGCTCGCCGCTCCCCTCTTTCGACAGCGTCGCCGAACCTGACTCTTCTCGGCCTCGCTCGCCGCCATCCTCAACCCTCTAGCTGTGCGGTCCCCCTCTTCTGACTGTCCGCTTATGAAGCCCGGCCCTCTGTTTGCTTCCATCCACCACACGCCCACCAAGCCAATGGCGTCGCGCATCTCCCTCAGCCCGAGGCTCTGATCTCCTCGCTCTACCGCAACATGCAATCGCGCAACCAGCACATCTAGACGCAGTCTGCCCTTTCGTTTCCAGAGCAACACCCCTCCCACCCGCTCGAACGCAAGACCCAGCATCCATATACCCTACAAATCTTGCTTTCCCTCTCCATCCGCGGTGTGCCCGAGCTCATTGCACCATCAACATGGCTTCCATCGCTCGCCGCATCGTCAGCGGCCAAAAGGCTCGCTTCAAGGATCCCCTGCTCGATCTCGACCTCGACCTCACCTATGTCACGGACAACATCATCATCATGGGCTTCCCCGCCTCGGGCGTCCAGTCGCTCTACCGCAACAAGCGCTCCGACGTGCGTCGCTTCCTCGACAAGCGTCACGACGACCTCTACCGCGTCTACAACTTTTGCCCCCTCACCGAAAACTCGTACGATCCAGACGAGTTCTACGGCCGAGTCTCGCGCTTTCCCTTCCCAGACCACCACGCCCCGCCGCTCAGCCTCATCCCGCTCTTCGTCGCCGACATCACCGACTTCCTCGAGTCGGACCCGGACGCAACCGCCGTCATCCACTGCAAGGCCGGCAAGGGAAGATCGGGCACCATGACCTGCTGCTACCTCGTCTCGCTCCCTTATCTCCCCACCGCTCCCACCAGCATCAAAAACTACAGCAACATGCAGCGCCCCGAGACGCAGCCAGATGCCGCTGCCCCTCCTCAACCTGCACCACGGGACACGGCGACACAGCCAGCCACCGTTGTTCAGCGCCATCCTATGCACTCGCTCGACGAGCATGTGCCCTTGCCCCCCGAACGCAGCAGCAGCATGACCCTCCAGATCCCACGTTCCGCAGCCTGGACAGACGCAGCGCAGGGCGAATCCATCAATGCATCGCCGGGCGCTCCGTCGGCACGCGGAACGCTCCGCAGGAGACCCTCGCTCGCGCCCGAACAGAGCATCATCTGCAACAACGACCACGACCCGCAGGCCGAGGTCGAGCAGATCTCACAGCGGCTCCAGACCATCTTTGACCTGCACACCCAGCGTCGCATGAAGCCCGAGTCGAGCAAGAAGGCCTCGGGACGTCGACGTGCGCGCTCCAACGCTGCTGGTCTGCGGCCCTCGGCGCACTCGACCGGCGCCATGCCATCGGCTGCAGCGTCCACCATCTCGCTGCGCGCGCTTGGCGCAGGTCCGGCCGGCCGCAGCTGCGATGCGCTCCACAGGACCAGCCAGAGCACGCACGACTTTGGCTCCGGTCTGCACTCGCGCTTCGCCACCCACAGCCGCGCCAGCACCAGCATGTCCTACGCGCCCGACTCGAGCTCCTTCTACAACACTGACCTCAGCTCGTCCATGATGGATTCGTTTGTGCATCAGCGTGAAGGCTACGCCACCGACGATGACGACTCGGTGGCGGTCAATCAGAATACCGAGGACCACAGCGATACCAAGAAGCCGCGCATGGGTGTATCCATCCCGAGCCAGCGCCGATGGGTTGGCTACTGGACGCGCATTCTGTCGGGACGCGATGCGCGGCTGTCCATGACCTCGGTGGTGCGCCAGCCGCGCCGTCAGATCCGCATCACACGCATCTCGGTCGAGCGCACCGCCTCGCCGCACGCCAAGAGCGCCCAGAGCTGGATCGAGCGGCTCGTGCCGCACTCGGACGCGCTGAGCGTCCAGCTCGCACGGTACGACGACTCGCTCGTGGACCGTCTCGAGTCGTGGGAGCGTCATGCACGCCGGCGCGCCAAGGCATTCGGCCAAAACGACCCGTCCGGTCTCGCCGGCGACCTAGACGCCGAGGAGCAGCACCAGAAACAGTACCTCAAGACGCTCCGCAGGAAGGCGTCGCAGCTGCAGTGCTGGGACGGCAACAAGTTCGACGACGGCCACGAGACCAAGATCGGCAACTGGGGCGTGCATGTCCAGGCCGAGGCCGAGCGCGCCAGAGCGTTCGATTGGAGAGACGACCAGCCTCAGCTCAACTACTTTGCGCTCTTTGCAGAGAGCCAGCCGCGCCAAGCTGTCCAGGGCGCCAGTCAGAAGTTGTGCAGGTACACGTTTGAGCCGCAGCAGCAGGCGGCGCAGGCACGACACTCGTCCACCTCGAGTGCGGATTCGGGCTACTACTCGTCCAATGCTGCATCGCCCGATGAGGCCGCTGACCACAACACGCATAGTCAAGCCGATCCCGCACACGCGCAGCATCTCAAGCCCGAAGCTGCGAACCCGCCTCTGCTGCGTCGAATGACACGCAAGGCTTCCGGCATGCTACGCACCTCGAGCAACGATGCATCGCGCGGGCAAGACGTCACCCCGCCTTCGTCCACTTCCTACCTGCCCTCCACCGCCCAGCCCACTGCTACGGGCGCTGATGGCGAAGAGCTGGTGGTGGGCCAGGTGTTGGATGCCGACCGCGAGGTGTGTGTCAAGGTGCTCGTCGGTCGCACGGGCACCAAACACGCCAAGCTGCCCGACGTCGCCTCGGCAGGATGGTGCTGGTTCATCCCGTCCTTCGAAGATCCCGATGCGGGTGCGGCGGGTGTGGCCAGCGTCGGCGCACGTACGGTCATCCGCTTCGACAAGGACGAGATCGACTTTCGCAAGCAGCCGCTCGGCCTCGTCGCCATCGAGGTCGAGTGGGAGTGGCTCAGCGTCGGCGAACATGACGACCTCGCCAATAGCACAGATAGATGAGTTATTACTAAGATCCTCAATGTACTTGTATGTAGTGCGTCTGGACGGTGTGCGCCGAGTGTCAAGGTGATGGTGTGCCGAGTGAAGTCAGGGGGCAAACGGCGGGCAAACGGAGCCACTTGTTAGAGTGTTGGAATCGTGTTCCAGAAAAATCACGGGCAGATTGGCGGAGTGGAGGCAAAGATCGCTCGCTCGAGCCACGCACGTCCATCTGCGCACCTTGTCTTGCTCCCACCATCCGCCCTCGCCGCGCCTCGTTGCCGTCCTTGATCCTGCAGCGCTCTCTGCACTGCAAAACAAGTGTCACGACAGCTGTTCAACGTCTCGGCCCCTCGATCTTGCTCTAGTGATTGGGCAGCGGCTTCCACTTGTGCTCCTCAAATTCCGATCTTGCATACGCCTCACCAATGGCAGCAGCTTCCTCTTCGGCGCCCTCGGGCGGCATGGCGCAGGCGACATTCGAGCTCAACAACGACATTGTGCAGCTGGACGCCTCCACCTTGGACTCCATCTTTGCATACGACACGGAGGCGCAGCGAGCGATCCTGCGCGCGCAACCCTGGAAGAGCGATCCGCACTTCTTCACCAAGGTGCGCATCTCGGCAGTGGCGCTGATCAAGATGGTGATGCACGCGCGCTCCGGCGGGATCTACGAGATCATGGGTCTGATGCAGGGCAAGATCGATGTGGAGAACCGTACGCTGTACGTGATGGACTCGTTTGCGCTTCCAGTCGAAGGCACCGAGACGCGCGTCAACGCGCAAAACGAAGCATACGAGTACATGGTGCAGTACCTCGACGACAGCAAGCAGGTGGGGAGACTCGAGAATGTTGTTGGATGGTACCATAGCCATCCCGGCTACGGCTGCTGGCTGAGTGGGATCGATGTCGGGACGCAACGAACGAATCAGCAGTTCCAGGATCCGTTTGTTGCCATCGTCATTGACCCGAATCGAACAATCTCGACAGGAAAGGTGGACATTGGCGCTTTTCGAACGTATCCCGAGGGATATGTTGCCGAGGGAGATAAGCAGGGTGGGATCCAGAGTGTGCCGCTGGATAAGATCGAGGACTTTGGTGTTCATGCTGGCCACTACTACCCGTTGGAGGTGGAGCATTTCAAGAGCAGTCTGGATGCCAAATTGGTCGATCTGCTATGGAACAAGTACTGGCAAAGCACGCTTGCTCAATCTCCGCTCGTGACCAATCGTGCATACACCACGGATCAGATTCGTGATCTGGCGGGTAAACTTGCCCAATCCCATCCCGGCATCACCACCAGGTCTTCCGCCGCCTCCAACCCCTTCCCTACCCCACCAAAGACTGACGACGATAAGCAGGTGCAAACAAGCCCCGAGAAGCTGCTCGAACAAATGGCCAGCAAAGCCCAATCCTCCACGCTCGCAAATCCCGCCCACGACGCCCGCAAACTGGCCGCAGAGGCAAATCACGCCCTCCTCACCACCTCGCTCAAATCAGCCCTCTTCCTACCCCAATAATTCCACCTCATCCCCCCACCAAACTCAATCGCAATCCATTCCGTTTCCACACACCAGCATTGTAAGAAACCTAGCGGAATTTTTTTTATGAGAACAAGCGAATACAACATGCGGCAGAGTGTGTGAGAGCCGGAGATGCTAGAGCATAGCCAAAGAAATGCATAATGTCAAAAAAGAGATTTGAGGGGATTGATGATGGGATGAATGTAAGCAAAGAGACTAGAACGTCTCGGCGGCATCGTAGGCGTTGGTCACGTCGCGCAGCACGTGACGGGTATCTTGGGCGCCCTGCATCTTGACGTCCTCCTTGTCGTCGTCCTCGTCGTACACCTCTTCGTCCTCGACGTCATCCGACTCGTCGTCGCGCCTGTACGACACCGTGTCGTCCGCATCGTTGTTCTGGCTCGGCTCGGCATCGAGCATGGCCTGCGCCGATGCGGGCGTGTTGGCGCGCGGCGTGGCGATGGGCGACAACTCGGGACGCTCGATCGCCTTGAGCTCGTACAGATCCACGCGCAGCACGTTCAGGTCCTGCTCGTCGTGGTCCGCCACAACACCCTCGGGGAACGTGCGCTTGGCCCAGTCGATCACGTACGTCGACGCACGCATAAACTTCTTGTGCGCATACTTCTTGTGGAAGAACTGGTGCGCCGTGGGGCGCAGGCAGTAGTCGAGCATGATCTCCGCCGTGCCCAGCAGCTCCTGCTCCGAGTACGTCGAGTAGTGCACCAGCGTCGGCGTCCACTCGCCGCGCTCGAGCACCTCTCGCGCAAGCCACACCGAGGCGGCGGCGACGAGCGAGGGCGGGTGCTCCATGAGCCGATAGTCGAGCAGCGAGATCTCCATAAAGTACTTGGCGACGGTGCGCGTCTGGATGTCGTAGTTGTCCGCCTTGCTGATGCGGCGCAGGAAGTTCATGGGGTTGGCGTACGACATGCTAAAGTCGAGCACCTTGAGCACGTAGCGCTCGGCGCGCAGGATCTCGAGGTCGGTGTATCCGCCGTCGGCGAGGTAGTAGAAGTTCTGGATGGACGGGCACATGACCTCCTCGTACTTGGACGCGATGAACATGGCGGTGACGCCGATGAGCTGGAGCTTGGAGAGCGAGATGGTGCGGCGCGAGAGGAAGCGGTCGATGATGTTGACCGCCAGGTAGAGCGTCTCGGGCAGCAGGCGGAACTTGGCGTGGATGTCGACGAGCCAGTCGATGAGAATGGCGCGCACCTCCCAGTTGATCTCCTTCTGCTGCGCCATGTAGTCGCCGTTGGGCATGTTGATGATCTCGAGCTCCTTCATGTACTCAAAGATGTCGTTGACGTACTCGGCCACCATGAGCGGGTCCTCGGCATCCTCGGCGTCGAGGTCCTCCCAGCCTTCGTCCTTGGCGGGCTTGACAGCGCCCTGCTCCGTCTTGAGACGCTTGGCCTGAGGTGCCTCGACCTTGTCTTCGGTGTCGCGCACCTCGTTGAGCGACGTCTTGGAGGAGCGAGTGGGCATGGCCGCCGAGGTCGAGGTGACGGCGGCTTCGCGGCGCACGCTGGTCTGCGAGCTGGCGGAGGTGGTGCGCACCATCGAGCCCTTGCGGGTGGCGGCGACGGCGTTGGTGGCGGTGGAGGATCGTGATGTCGCAGAGGGAATGCCGGTGGTGGTGGAGGAGGAGGTGGTGGTGCCGGCAACGCGTCTGGAAGCGCGGAAGGGGCGATCGGCAGCAGCATCTACGGTCGAGGTGGTGGTGGTGGTGGCAGTGGTGGGGCGGGTGCGAACGACACGGCGAGCGGCTCCGACGCCGGTGACGGTGGCGGTGGTGGTGGTGGCGATGGCGGCGGATGATCGTGACGAGGCCGATGTCGAGGCGGTGGCACGGGGCTTGATGGCATCCTTGAGCGCGGCTTTACCCTTGTCGTCGTTGCCGGCCATGTTGGTGCGGGTTCGGTTGGCGTTGGTCAGGTCGCCGAGCGCGGCCCTCTTCCGAGTTCCGAGAACGCCGGAGGCAGCCGATGCAGCCGATGCCTTGGTGGGCGCGGTGACGCCCGAGGCGGGCTTGGACGGTCCGGCATCGGCCGCAGCAGCATCGACGCCGTATCTCGTGGATCTGGAGGCGACGCCAGCAACGCCTGCGTTCTCTTTGGACTGCGCGCCGGTGGTGGAGGTGGTGCTGCGCGTGCGCAGTGGGATGCGACGGGATGCCTGTGTGGGACGCGACGAGGTCGAGGGGTGGTGACGATGAGCATCTGATTCTGCGACTTTCGGCGGTGGCAGAAGCGGGGGCAGCAGTCACTTACAATGTTTTGGGACATGTTGGATAGTAATAAGGACGATTAGGTTGTTCCGTGAGGCGAGAGGCTGGTGGGACGCGATGCGGTGGATGGAGGGTGGGAGGTCGCGACGGACGCGACGGACACGACGACGGCGAGATGCGAGATGCGGTGGTTGCAGAGATTGTCAGCGGCTGTCCATGAATGGAGATGCTTGCAGAGAGACACGACGCGAGCGATGGGAGGATGCAGCGGACAGGCAGGCAGACGAGACGACGCGTCGTGGTCGCGGCGAATGCGATCGCGACCAAAGGGCGACGATGGAGCCAAAGACGACGCGGAAGATGATAGCGAGGAAGGCGCGAATGAGGAAGGAACGAGGATGCAGAGATGAGGACGGATGGGTGTGGGAGGGGAGGAGTAGGAGTAGGAAGGAAGAGGAGAGAGGAGATAGGATGAGGTAGGATGAAGGGATCGAGTGGAGACGACTCGAGCCAAGAGAGGGCGCTGCCCGTGTGAGGCAGGCAGCAAAAAACCAGAACTGCAGAGCGCAGTGCGCTGGGCGAGAGGCAGCGAGGCAGAGAGGCAGCGGAGCGGCAGAAATTGCGCGCTGGTTGAGGCGTCGATTTCAACACGAAGGTCGCGCTCTGAAGTCGGCACTTGCAGCCACGACGGGCAGGCTCAATTGGAAATGGCGTCGACTGCCAACGCGAATTTGGCCCGCGGGCGAGGGCTAGAGAGAGAGCGTGTCGCATCGCCGCCACAAGCCGGCCGCGAGGATCGAGGAAATTGGGCTTTGAACGCATCGCGCATCGCGCATCGCCAGCTGCAAGCGCCAAATTCCGATGACCCGCAGCCATAAATCGCAGAAATTCGCCAAAAATCGACCATTTCTGGCGAAAAATGCAGCGAATTCAACTTCCACTGGCTCGGGCGGCGGCGGTTTGGCGATTCTGCAGCACTGTTAGATCTCGACGCTGTCTCAGACCGGCGAGTCGGTTTGCTGCTGCAGACGCTGGCCCCTCCTCGTCCTCGTCATCCCGGGTCGATGAGACGCCGAAGGAGCAGTAGCCAGCTGGAAGAGAGGACGAGTACGAGCACGAAGCACTGAGATCGGCGCCAGACATAGGAAGGGGGACCGATATACAAGGGAGCAACGACAGCTATGCAGGGCGGTTGCTTCAAAGGAGCACGGAATCCAGGCCAGGCGCAGAAGAGACAGGATACCCACATGAAGAGTAGAGGTCTTGGTGATGGTCGATAGTTGCTTTGAGAGTTGATTGAGGTAGAAGCTGTCGGCAGTTGTCGGTAGAGGCTTGCTGTGGGGTCGGTGGGATGGCTGGTGAAAGGTGTGCGTTCGGGTGTTGATGGCGAGCTAGTTGGATAGTCGAAGGATGTTGCACGAGTCTATATGAGCGCTGATACTGTATGAGGCTGACTGAAGGCGATTCCAGCGGACACCGAGCTTGGAGATGCCGTGATTAAAGTCTCTGCTTGCGACGACACGATGATTGCGTCGACGGTGTTGAACGGCGCTGTAGGCAGCGACGAGGATGGTGCCGCACTGTGCAGGCTTGACGAGGGGGAGAGAGGTGAAGATGGAGGAGGCTTGGGTGAGGAGTGGTGGGAGGGCTCGAGGATGGTGAGGATGTCGGGAGGCAAGAAAGTGAAGGGCGAGGCGGTGAGCGAAGCACGCTCGCGTTTCCAGCGGCTGTTTGGTGAGCGACGCGGCGGGGCTTGCAAGGGTGCCTGTCGTGAGAGGGATGCTCGGTTGGTGGAATCTACAGGCAGGCAGCCCCGAGCGCAGGCGCAGGCTGCTTCAGTTGCTCCGGCGTCCAAATTCGAGCTTCGAGCTGGGGCTTGAGCGCGAAGCGGGCGCCCTTCCGACGTGAGCGTGGACGTGCTTCGTGTCGTATTGTATTGGATCGCTTTTGAGCGTGCATAATTCTACAGTGCACACTCACTACGGGCGTCCGTAGGTCAAATTGCTCGATTCCACTTTCAAAGGTTCACTGTACTTGCGCCCTTCGCAGGCGCCGATGGGCAATACAAACACCATGGCAGCCGTGATATAAGACCTACACTAGGTCGTATCCCTGTTAGTGCCGGTCTTTCTTCCAATGCGGAGTGTTTGTGGTGTCGCGTTTCGGACTTCCTGCAACAATGTCAGCCGGCCGGCAACCACAACGTGAGGCTTCAGGGCACAGCTTGGCGGCTTCACTTTAGCAGCAGCAGGCTGGACGAGGCCTGGGAAGGCGATGCGTTCCTATGTGTGTCTATGGATATCATCTTGCGCCTTGTCGCTCTCTATCACCCGCAACTGTGGCACCGAGCCTTCGGACAAGCGGCAAACTGAGCCGTGAGCGTGAGCACGTGCTGTTGCTCCTCTATCGGTCCAGAACCCTGCAGGCCATACTGGCTCGTTGTGTGAGCGGCGAGTGTCTGATTGCGGGTGTGCACCATGTCCGGCGTGGCGAGAACAGGTCATCGGCAGAATGAAAATAAGGTCCACATGGACGCTCCGAAAAAACAGGCACCGAAAATCACACCTCCCAGCTCTTCGGCTGAGAACAACAGCCTCGGAAGAAGTGACGCACGGAATCTGGAAAACTCCACATGGGCACGCGCGACGCGGCTTGCTTCGTCACGTGCAGCCAGCACCATTTGCTGGCCCAGCTTGGCCCAGCTGCTCATCCCGCCATTTGGCTGCAGTCCACCCACCACCAGACGGGGCCAGACAGTACAAACAGAGAGGATAAGCTGGAGGCAGAGGCGGGGACACGAGCGGGTCACGAAAGCAGAGTAGATGCATACGACACCGAGTACAAGCGTCGCGGGGCCAGTGACGAGCCGGGATCGGAGGTGGCCAGCAGTGCATCTGACGCACGCACGAGTTGAATCTTCGGGCCGCGTCCTGGTTAGAGCTGCAGCGCCGACGCAAGTTGAGCCGCCGCTCAAAGGTCAGCCGGTACATTCAAAGCGCACTCGAAAGGAAACGGCTCCAAGGCGCGGTTGCGAGCCTACCAGGTCAGCGGCTGCTGACGCCGTGAGCTGCGGGACTGACTCGCTCGCGTGACTGGCCTCGCGTTGAGTAGCTTCGCGATGGCCTTTTTTTCGCGCTTTGCAAAAGGGTCCAAGCTGCAGAGCCCATTTTTCCGCTGGGCCGTGTTCACAGGGATCCGAGAGCGCTCGCTCTCCATCAAAAACCGGGCTAGGGACCAAAGCGCGCTCATCGGGTGGAGGCCAAGTATGTGATAGCCCCTGGGCGACCGTATGCCCAGCTCAGGTCCTCCCGATCCTGCCAACAGCTTCGGAGAGAAGCCGAACCTGTCTGACTGGTGCGAGCTCAGAAGCCAATTTTGGCCACGCCTGCTCCGCAATCCGAGATTTGCTAGAGGGCGCGCGTGTTGCACTCCACTCGAACGCGTGCAAAACTCAGCCGCGCAGGATTTCAGGTTCCACAACCCACTCGACCCCTGTCCTCCTCCTCAAGCACAATTGTCACTCTGATTTCATCGCCCACACTCCAGGCCCATTTCGATCCAAGCCGGCGGAGACGAAAAGCACATGCTGCCCTCTACCACAACGAAGCACCTTTCCGCACGTCAGTACATCCAGCTCTCTCTCCATCCACATGCCGCCAGTCGAAGCCCTTACCTTGTCCAGTAGCCATGCAGCCGCTCGCATACGTCGAGCCGCTACGCATTGCGAATCAAATGTATCCACCCCATCAAAAGTCGGCAGGACCTAGCAGTGTCGCCAGCTCAAGTATGCTCCCTGCACAGAGCCCAGCCAAGCGCAAGAAGCCCGCCCCCTCCTCATCCACCGACCCGCAGGGCTCGTCAACTCGCACCGTTCCTGCAACGACCAAGGCCGCATCGACAGCGTCAAGCAGGCCTCTCAAAAAGAAGACGGTCTCGTCCAATGACGATTCTCTTGCCGCCCGCTTGCAGCCCAAGCTCACTCAGTCCTCTTGGCGCAGAACCAAATCCTACCAGCATGTCGATCTCAGCGGACCCACCCGTCGTACCGTGCTCGAATGGCTACCCCGCGAGGTCGTCTTCATGATCCTCCATCTCCTCTCCTTTCAGGATCTCAACAGCCTCACCCGAGCCGACAAACGCGTACGACCGCTCGTCCACGCAAAGTCATTCAGCCCGTGGCGCAAGCGCCTCGCCTCCTTCCTCCACGCGGAACGCCTCTACGACGAGACAATCAGCCTCGAAGAGGACTCGATCTTCAACGCATCCGACGCCGATGCTCCGAGCGATGACGAAGATGCGCATGCACAAGCAACCACCAATGCCGTCGCAGCCACCAGTGCCTCTGCTTCCCGGGCACCTGCCAACCGAGCAAACTCAGACCATGTGCAAATCGAGCAAACCTTTGTCCAAGCCTACGCAGACCTCGTCAGCGCCCTCGAGCTCAAATCGGCCCCTGTCGATCTTCTCGACCTCGTCCCGTGCCTCACCCGCGTCTGGCACGATCATGACTCCTTCACCACCATCCGAAAGTGGTGCAGAGACTTTGTCGTCGGTCGCACGTCAGCAGATCACATCTTGGCCGCCGTCGATCACATCACCGCCATCGAGGTCCTCTGCTGCGTCCGCCTCTATCTCGCCCTCGTCCGCATCTCTCGCGCCTTCGCCCAAGACCTCCCTCCTCTTCAATCGGTGCGCATGCTCGACTACAACTTGCGTTCCGCAGTCGCCACCTTCTTTAAGCCCAGCGCCATCGCGCAAGCACCGCCGCCGGGCGCTCATCTCGCCTTCCAACTCACACACGAACAGGCACGGTTCGTCAATCGAGACGTGCGCCCAGGCGAGATCATCAAGGTGCAGGCCTTTGCAGGCACCGGCAAGACCCGCTCCCTCCTTGCTTACGCCGACCGTCGGCCAAACAAGCGCTTCCTCTACATCGCCTTCAACAAGGCCGCCGCAGAAGATGCTCGTCGCCGTTTCCCGGCCCACGTACAGTGCCGCACCATGCATTCGGTCGCTCTCTGCCAGGTAGTCCGCGCCGCCGGCCAAGACATCGGCGACCTGCGCGCTCGCGACGTGGTCCGCTTGCTCGGCGACAGCCTCCCCGCAGGCCAGCTCGCCAAAACTCAGGCCATGGCCACGCAGACCGGACGCGATCACCGCCTCACCCCCACCGCCGTCGCCACCTACGTGCTCGCCACCCTCCAACGCTTCTTCTACTCGGACGACGCCACCATCATCCCCGACCGTCACGTGCCTACAAAGGTGGCCACCGACACCGATCTCAAGATTCGCGCCGTCGCCAGATGTGCACAGGAGCTCTGGGATCTCATCCGTCAAGGTGCGCCGGATCGGTCCGGAAAGTCGGTCCGATGTCCACACGACGCCTACGTCAAGCTCCTCCAGCTCCAAGCGCCCCACCACTCGGAAAACTACTTCAAGGCATTCGACGTCCTCCTGCTCGACGAAGCACAGGACCTGTCCGCCGCCCAGGTCTCGATCCTGCTTCGTGCGCAGAAGCACTGCGGCATCCTCATCGTCGGCGACGTCTTTCAGAAGATCTACGGCTTCCGCGGCGGCACAGCAAAGGCCTTCAACGAGCGTCTCCATCCATCCTCGGCGCACTTTGAGCTCACCAAGAGCTTCCGATTCGGCGATAATGTCGCCAAGATCGCGACGGAGATGCTCGGTCTCCGCAAGCCAGCGCCTTGGGAACGTGCGGCGCCGCGACCTGTCCTCAGTGGCGCTCTTGGCACGAACGACCGCGTTTACGCCGAGGCTAACCTCTTCCGCGATCTCCTTGCCCCTCCCGAGGCAGAGGAATCGCAATTCCCCAACGAAACGACTCAGGGTGATGGCGCACCATCACAACCAGCAGCTCGGCAGACCCAAGCGATCGGTGCTGCTGCGACACAAGCCCAAGGTGCCGATGCGCTCGCAGCAGCTCTCGGCGAGGGAGGGCAGGCCGTGGCTCTCCAGGTGGGATCCATCGGAGAGATGGGCCGCAGCGAGGACATTCTCACGCACACGCGCATCTTTCGGAGCAATCGCAAGCTCTGCCTCACCGCACTTGCGCTGTCAGCGTCGCTGCCGCAGCCTCACAAGATCTTTCTCAAGACGAGCCAGTCGCTCCAGCCCGACGCCATTGTGACGCTACTGCGCGACGCGCACATCTTGTATCACAACGACTCTCGCTCCATGTCGCGCAACTCGCTGCTGCGCGACTTTGCGAGCTGGAAGGATCTGGTGCAGCGCGTCGAGGCCGAAGGATCCGGAGAGACCAAACTCAGCCTTGCCGTGGCCTTGGGCGGTCTCTTGGCAAGCTCCGACTTCTTGGACCAGGTGGCGCTGCTCGAGACGCGCTTTGCTCCCACGGAAGACGCGGCCACGGTGGTGCTCACCACGGTGCATCAGGCAAAGGGTCTCGAGTGGGACTGCGTGATTGTCGAGGACGATTTTCGGCCGGTGTTCGGCAACGACAAGACGCAGAGGGTGGAGGTGGCGAGCTACTGGCACCAGGACGAGCTGAACCACCTCTACGTCGCTCTCACTCGAGCCAAGCGAAATCTGATCGTGTCGCGATGCGTGATGCATTGGATCGCAGCCATGCGCGGGCTGTACCAGTACAGGCTGTTGCCGAGCAACACCAACCTGAGCATCGGCAAGTTGGGACTGTGCCCGCACTGCAACGGTTCCAAGCATGCGCTTGTGGTGCGCGAGTATCGTCTGGCGTGCTTCGACTTTCTGAATCCCAAGTGCAACCAGCACCGGCCAGAGTACAAACACAGCCGAGAGCCATGCCCACCTACCGACGTGGTTGGATGTGTGGGGTGTCTGTCCGATCCGAGCTCAGCTGCACACGTCGATGCGCTCGCGGATCCAGACTTGGCTGTGTTTGTCTCGACTGCACCCAAGATCACGCGTCAACGCCCCCAAGCTCCCAAGCCACACGACGATGCGGCCGAGGGCAAACGGGACGAAACGGCAGTCGGCTTCAAGCTCGAGCCGGCAAAGCATGCATTCTTGAACGCCGATCACCGATCCATGAAGTGGGCCATCATGCACCACGAATACAAACGTGCAGTCTACTCGTGGCTCGCATAACCATCCATCGCATCCCCCACACGCAGTCAGTGATGGCTGCGTCTATCAGCATTGTACTTTTACCACACGCCATCCAAGCTTGCATTCTCGCTCACTCCATCACATACGCACAACTGCCAAGGAACGAAGACAGGGGTAAGCACGGTGGAAACAAAGTTGAGGCAAGACGATACACGGCGAAATGGACGGAGGTGGAGGAAATTAGACGCCGGCCATGCCAAACATGCCGGTAGCGTCTCTGACGCGCGCAATGTCGCTTGCGGTGAGGTGGTGTTTCTGGGAGAGGAAAAAGTCTTCAAAGATGCGTTCGATCTCTGCGTCTCCCGGCGATCTTCCGGACGGACCTGGCGAAGCAGCGCCGGCCTCTACGTTGGGACCCGAGAACTGGAGCTCGAGGTACGATCGGAGACCGGTCCAGAACTCGGTGGAGCGGATGCGGTTTTCGTGCAGACGCGAGATGCTCGGACTCAGCGGTGGCGGCACCGCTGTCCCCGGGTACTGAGTTGCACTACCCTGTGCCGTAGCGCCGCCGAGGGGTTTACCAACCGAGCGGTGACCCGAGAGCGTATCGTCGTCGGTAGTCAGCGTGAGTTCCGGAATCGACACGCCCGAAGCAGTGCGATTGTGCGACGGCCTCGACCCGCCCGTGATGATGGGTGCTGGTGCCTGAAGGTCCGCCGACGTAGGCTTGGCCGCAGCCGCCGGGGGGGTGGGGGTAGAGGAGGATGTCGACATCTGCTCGTACTGCGCTGCGGTGTAGGTCTTCTGCGAAAAGGCGTGCAGCTGCGCAATCTCGTCCTTGAGAAGCTCGTTGACCATGCGATGGCGCTTGAGCGTGTTGAGGCCCTCGAAGGCGTCACTGACAATCACCACGTCGTATGCCTGCCCACATCCTCCAGACACATCCGACACCACCTAACATTTCACCGCCAAGATACGGTCACGGAGTCAGCACAACACGTCATTCTGCAATCATAGCAAGACAGGCGACTTACGAGTGTCGAGACGTTGCGCACCTTCTGCCGAATGGCAGACTCGAGCTCTTGTGACGATACCATGGCGTTCCCAACTCTGTGATCGGTCTGAAGTCCTTCGAAAGCGGGTATTCCTGCAGAAGCGTGCTCCGAAGCGTCCGTTGTGTGAGAGCGTAAGCGAGTTAGTCCGGTCGCAAGAGTGTGGGCTGTTGGATAAGGTACGATAGAGAGAGGGTGAGGGGGAGGCGATGTCGACGATTGCGGAGGGAGCCCTTGCATGCCACACGGCCGGCCGCCAACCGAGCGAGCCGCGAGCAGCAGCAGCGGGCGCGCACAGCCCTCGGCCCAAGCTCAGCTGCTGGTCCAAAGAAGGGTGCGCGTGCGCCGCTTTTTCCAAAATGGGACGCTGCAACAAAATTGGGCGCGTCGGACCTTGCTTGGCTGCGTGTCTCAGAGCGCAGAGAGGAACGCTTCCATGCGCCCGCCATCTCGGCAGCTATTTTCGAAACATCGGTTTTTGTTAGACCGCCAAAGAATCGGGGTCAGATCCATGCAAAGCTCCGAACTGGACCCTGAAGACCATCACCGTGATGCACACTCGAGTCTCCCACCAGACAATCACTTCTCTCAACGCTGCTTACATCCGAAGCAAGGCGAGCATCCGTCAAGATTCTTCGACTGGCCTGCTTCAAGATAGCTCGAGGGTCTGCGCAATCGCGTCTGGCTTCGGTTGGCTCTGGGCTCGCTGCGTTTACTCGCGGAACTCGGAGCTGTCGTGCGGGCATGTCGACTTGCGCTGGCCCAGAGAAGCGGCCAGGGCGCATCGCCTGCATCCAGCTCGACTCCAAGCATGCCGATGTGCCTCGGAACATAGAGACAGCTCTGCGCCTTGGCGCTGGTCTCATTGCCGACCGATTCGCGGATCCGGTCGATCTGGTCGTGCTTCCCGAGCTCGCACTGACGGGCTACGTGTTCGAATCCAGAGAGGAGCTCGATCCGCTCCTCGAGGATTCAAGCACCTTCTCACCGCCGCGCCCCATCTCTGGGCCTGCGCTGTCGAGCGATGCGGCTGCCTTCATCTCGGCGTGCCGCAGCTCGTGCGTTGCTTCGGATCATCCGAGCCTAAACCTCGCAGCTCATGTGGCGCAGCAGCTGCAATGTCACGTTGTCATCGGCTTCCCCGAGCGCGGGTCTCCTGACCATGACCAGGCGATACGCGCAACCGCGGCTGGCGCAACCGCGGTCAGCGCGCCCTACGACGCAAGGCCCATCGAGCACCGCGCCGAGCCAACAGCGATCGAGGCCCGCGCCGCCTACAACTCGGCTGCCCTGATGGCGCCGGATGGGTCGCTCCTGCACGTCTTTCGCAAGCATTTCCTGTTCGAGACCGACGAAAAGTGGGCGGTCCAGGGCAGTGGCTTCCAGACGCTCCGTCTGCCCGCGCTCGGCACAGTATGCGTCGCCATCTGCATGGATCTCAACCCATTCCGATTCACCGCCCCTTTCGAAGCCTACGAACTCGCTTCCTTCTGCGTCGAGCACGACGTGGACCTGCTCGTAATGCCCATGGCCTGGTTGGCGCCGAGTGACGAGCGCCATCAGCTTGAATCCGACCAAGCCGCTGCGCCGCCACAGCCCAGCCTATCAACCATCAACTATAGGCGCTGCGTTGCAAACCTTTCTTTCAACCGCCCAAGCCCCCGGTGCCGCCCGCCGAGCTTGGCGAGGATCGACTGCACAAGCAAAGATACCTCATCACGGCCAATCGGGTGGGTCGGGAGCGCGACTCGATCTTCGGTGGCTCCTCGTGCGTCCTCCAGATGAAGCCCAACGAGCGTCCTCTCCTGGTCGAGTGCCTCAACTCTGCAGAGGAAGCCTGTCTCGTGACCACGCTACCCCGCTGAGGTCGTGCCCGGCCGTCATATCGCACCATGCTTCGGACTTCTGGTGTATATAAGCAGAGCCATCCGGCGCGCTTCCTCGACGCCTTTCTCCGAACGACGACGCCGTCAAGAACACTCTGCCATGAGGCTGCCTTCTCTGCTCAAACTCGGCAGCGCCGCGGTGCTCGCCACCCTTTGCTTCTTACCGCACAGCAGCACAGCTGTTGGCGAAGAAGCTGGGCCTAGCTCTGTCCCCTCTTGGGTTGAAAGGGCACGGCCGAGGGTGGAAGACTACATCACGTTGCTCCACCCGCATCGCATCGCTTTGTTGCGCCACGATGCTCAACTGCATCCCAACATGGACTCGTATCAGTATCTTCCGTTCATCGATGGCTATCCCCTCTTCACCACGCGCACCGATCCAGAGACGGCCGAGATGGCGCTCAGCTACTACGATCGCGTAGGCATCCTCGACACCGCAAGGCACGACGGCCGCTTGATCAAGTACGGCAACGCACGTCTCGAGCAGGATCTCTTGCCCGACCTCGACCGCGCCCTGAACCTGCACAGCCTCGACTCCAAGGTGCACCGTCTGCGTCATCTTGTGCTCCGCGGTGGGATCGCCGTGCCGCCTCGGCCGGACATCTTGTCGCTGCCACACGTCAGAGGAGTTCCCGTCCTCACCGCCGAATTCTCCACGCTCGACCAGATGCTTCACGCTGCTGGAACGGGCAATGGCGACTTCTGGTACCTTCGAAGCTCAGCGCCGATCGTCAAGATCAACCCGCGCGAGGAAGGCCTGTTCGAGTTAGCCACCGCGCGAGACTTGCGGGAGATCGAGCGCGTCAGCTCAGGCGTGCGCCATGCCAGGCTGCGTTACGGCGACTCGCTTTCCTCCCTCCTTTGGGGCGCGCCCGTCGAATTAAGGGACTTGCATCGCCAAGACCGCATCAGGCGCCCTTCGCTCGCTCACTATCCGCGACTCGTCGATAGCGAATCGCGCGACGAGATGATCAACGCGCTTCAGACGCGTGGACGATTCCGCCTCTACAGGTCCGGCCAACACGCGGGAGAGAGGTTCAAGGTGATGCTCATCAATCCTGATGCTCAGCAGGGCACGCACATGCGCATAGAGGTCAGACCGCTCACTGACTGGGAACGAACCCAGGAAGACTGGTTGGTTCGGCTCGGCAAGACCCGTCTGCCTGTCTGATCGCATCTCTCTTGTCCAAATCGCCGCGTCAATGTCGTATCGTCCACGCTAGCCTTCATGGTGGGTATGAAGAACGCCATTCGAGCACGCCGCCTGCGGCGTGCGAGCCAAACAGAATGCAGACACATGCTCATCAGAAGTCAACACGCCACTGCGCTTGAAATGATGGTGTTCGTGTGGTGTGATGGCGCCAATGCGACTGACGCGGCGCGGTCGGCAGTCGTGATTGCGATTGGCGGCAACAACGGATGAGATTGTATCTCCACTAGCGGGGCTGGCTTGCCTTCATCGCGGCTGCGGTGGCTTGGCGCGGCGTGGAAACAGCTGCGCCCATCCATCGGTGGCCAAGGCGCGAATGAACTCAAGTCAGACGCAAGCGGTGGCGACGATACCATGCAGACCAACACCCCACTGCCGTTGGAATTGGGTGGTTGCGGGCAAGGCCTTAGGAGGCTACTGCATGTGGTGCGCGTATAAAGAGGGGGACTTGGTTCGATGATGCCACTTGTCTCAGAATACTTTGTGACAGCTTCTATCCCAAGTACTGACACCTCAAGAAGCATGATTTGGACGCACGTTCGGTTGTTCGTGCTCGCCTGCATACTGCTCTTACCGCATGGCAGTGCTGCGCCCGCTGACACATCCAAGGGCAAGGAGATAGTCGACGAAGGGGCGGGTCCCAGCAGCCCTGTGCCGTCCGGTTCGGGGTCGCCGGTTCTTTCGCACCGACCAGTGAGCGAGCTGCAGCTGCTCGATCCACCTCCTGATCCATTTGACCCAACTCCGCTTTCATTCGACGACATCGTTGACGGCCGCTACGTCCCCACGCCCATCACCTCCACGCACATCTCGCAACTGACCGAAGCCGAAAACGATGCAACCACATTGCTTCTAGCCGACGATACCCGACACTCTGCAGGTCCCATCGTCGACCTTACCAATCCTCGATCCTATCGATCCTTCAACGCGCTCGTGCATCGGTATCGAATGGTGGATCTCTACCGCATCCTACCCGATGGCTCAATCGATGCTCGATCGCTCTTCTTCTCCCCCCGCGCCAAAAAACTCCTCTCCATTACAAAAGGTGCTCCCCTGATCGCCCTGCATGAGCGCATCAGTAAGATCGAACACATCCGTCGCAACTACGGAGACAACGTTGCTTGGGCAAGATTTCATCGCCCTTTCACTCCAGTCCATAGAGCCATCCGGGAATCCGGCGTGCAGGTACAACCAACCTGGAAGGATGTCCTCGCTACAGGGTTCTTTCAGACCCCCATTCGAGGTCAGGCCGCAGAGATTCGCACGTACTTTGACACCCACCGCATCGCAAAGTTCATCAGCATCGACGGTACGCATTTTCTAGGCGTCAGAATCGATGCGGATGGCATCGCTTCCCACCTAGAGGCTCCGATGCATGAATTTCACCCGTGATCGCATCTTCTGCCGTGCAATTCAAAGCTGCTTGCACCTAGCTTCTTGCATTGCTGAGAACAACACGAAGCAGCTCCGAGAGGAAGCCGCATCGATCCTCCTCATTCCAGATGTGCAATGGGAAGCCGATGCGATGCCGGTTTCCATCAGTCTCATTTCAGACGTGCATCGTGAAGGGTTTGTGATGTCGGGCCGTGTGAGTCGTAGCTTTGTCACATGAGACCGGACTCACCAGACAGAAAACTTGTCTCTTGGGACATGACTTTTCAGACATGAGGATCGTGGCTTATCACATGAGAATCCCGAGACAAGAGTTGATCTGAACAGGCGACCGTCGCAAAGCCACTTACATACAGTATGAAGGTGAGAGCTGCGTGGGTCGCTGGGGAGTTCTCACGCCAGCGTCTCATGACAAGCCCGGTCCCCACAATGAAAAGCGCAAGGCCGATCCGAGACCGATGCTATCCCGTCAGATGCTCTACGAAGTGGGGCGACGACTGTCACAAAGGTACAAGTACCTCCAGAAGCTGCAGAGACAAGCGTCGAGGTCTCACCAGTTGCGACTTACACCTCCAGTCCCAGAGTCTACACCATGCACTCGTATCGGCTTTCGACTTTTCTGTCCATCTTCCTCCTCGGGTCGATCGCTTCGATCCACGCTCTTTCGTCTCCGCGCTTGAAGCTGGAAAAGCGTGTCAACCCGGACTTCGCCTCTGGCACGGTACCGGAACATGCCTCTGGTACGGTACCTGGACACGAAGCCGAGGTGCTACCGGAGCATTTAGCGGGTCTTCTGCCGGAGAGCGCAGGGACGTCCTCGGACAACGTAGCTGGGACCATATCGTATCAAGCGATTGAAGCTGGCTTTTTCCGACCTCACACCCGATGGACTCCGCTGAGGACTACCTCCATGCGTTCATTGTGGTACTACAGCGCCTTATTCCACAAGCGAGTACCTATCTTCTTCATCGGGCATGATGGATTTAGCAAACGGGAGCTTGAGCAAGCCTATGCTGATTTTGGCGGCTTTCACGTCATGGGTCGACCCGAACTGGGCCAGCATACTCTGACGGTCTCCAAAGGTCGCTACGACATCCCCTTGGTTCGCCATGCCACTCGAAGTGTTCATCAACACGCTCTCAACGCCTACTCTACTCGATCCGTGTTTGGAGATACTGCGGCATCGGTTGCTTTTGGCTACGAAGCGCCACCAACCCACTCGTTGATGCGTTCGAATGCGGCCTTGCCATCGTGGAATGCGGTTTGGGAGGGTATGCGCGCTCCCGAGAACATGGTGGTTCGCGACGCAAAGCGTCAGCTCGAAAGGGATCGCCATATCACCTTTCAGTCGGCCGATGGCAGCAATCAGCTCGGTGTGCGCCTGCTCAATAACGGCAAGAAAGAGATCCAGTGGCTGATTGATACCCGCCCCGTATTCCGCCAGATCTATTAGGAGATGCTGGACGCACTCTCTTTCCCTCGCGCATCTTGTCGAATGTCACTGGCGTATGCGAATGATGTAGGGCTTGCAGAGCTCGCTTTGTCTATCCAACCTCAATTTGTTTCGTGCCGTACTGCAGGCTCAGACAGCTGTGATGTGCTCGGTGTCTTCTATTCGCCCGCTATGAATAACATATGTGGCTGAGAAATCTCGCTCCGAGACTGTGTGATCTTGTGCTGACTGCTGGGACGTTGCGTATGTGTGATAACACCACCGTCTAGATCCCACGCCCACAATCTCTCATGCTTGGAAGATGAGGTTAGTGGGACCGCCTTTGCATGATGAATTCCATACGACCAAGTTTTTAACGGCTCTCGAGACTCTCGAGGCAGTGAAAGTACTGATCGTCCATTTGTCCAAGTCGACACTCCACTTGCGGCCATTACACTTGTGGCCCTTCCACTTGTGGTCATTCTCTTGTCGACACTCGAGATGCAGGGATCAGAATTGGTCAAACATGGCTGTCTCAGTGTATTCGAGGATCGAGATGCTGTGGCTATGCTCATGATCTTGTTTCGACGATAAGAGGTGCTTTGGCACTCTCTTCTCCTCAAGTCAAGGACAGGAGAAGTCTTTATATTGCAGGCTTTCAGAGTTTGAGGAAAGGCACGCTCTTCTCCATCACATACTGTGTCCTGTTCACACACGAGCCGCAGTCAAGCTGTCATCATGCTAGTTTGGTCCTTGCCCGCCAAGATCCTGGCCCTCACGGGCTTCTTCATCTGCGCGCAGGCTCTTCCCGGCCCGAGGGCGTCTGTGCTGAGCAAGCGCATGTATGCAACGGGCAGCCGATCCACTTCTTCAGGAGAGCTGAGTTTCGAAGACGTGTACAACGGAGGTTTCCAGCCTGCACTGGGAACACGAGGAATCACGCGCGACATTCCACGCTTCTACAACGGCATGTACTTCTACCACCGCGCACCCGTTTTAACCTTCTATCGGGGTCAGAGAATCCCAAAGGTCGACCTTGACGTCGCCTCGGCCACGTTCAACAAGTTTCACGTCTACGATCTCGTCGAGGGTCGGTACACTACCATCGAGCGCGATGGAAGCGATGCCGCCCGTGCGATTCGATCTGCCTGGCACGGAGACATCGAAGCCTATATGCGGCGGGCTTTCTCCACCAGTGGACGATTCGGACGACACATCTCCCTCGTCGTCCATTGCCACCCAGTGGAAACAGGAAGGTACAAGAAGATCGCGGGTTTCAGGTGGCCAGAATCGCCTCCGACCTGGAACACGGTCTTTCGGACCGTGCCCTTTAGGCAAGATCCTCGACTGACCCAGGATGAGGCAGAAGAGTTCCGCTTGAATCTGAGGAGGAAGCTCGACACCCAGCGATTCGCGCACTTCCGTAGCTTGGACAACTCCAGGGCCATCGGTATCAGGGCTCTTCATAACGGTAACATAGAGTACGAGGTGAGGGACATGATCGGACGCGTGTCGAGGTTCAACCCTTAGAGCCGCATCGCTCTTCCATCAATTCCATCCCACACCAATGCCTAGAAGATGTCCCTTGAGTCGCCCAGCTTTTGGCCATCGTGCACGAAGGCGATTACGTCGTGAAGCCTGAAAACGGTAGCATGGAAAGCTTCACGATCCACTTTGGCTTCAAAGATCTCATCCGATCCCTCTCCAATGCCTAATCGCATGACTCGCGTCGCTCATGGTCATACCGAGCATCGGCAGAATCAGTGCCAAAACCTACCCAAGGCTGCTCGTGAAAGTCGCATATGAACAAAGGCAATGTTCCGGTGTGAGAGAGAGCGCGAGAGAAATGTCCGGCTACCGCACGGAAGACTGCACTGTCATGAAGACAATGATCACGAGGCTCGGCTGGTGGCGTCGCCCCGAGTCGATGAGGTGGCGCGCTTGTTGAGATCGGCGGGCTTCGGGCATGGGCGGGGCACCATAGAGCTCCAAATGAAGTCGGTGGTGCCTTGGCTGAGGACATTGCATCATTGTCTCGTATGATAAGATGCACGACCAGAAAGGTGGGAGCTACTGTAAGAATCGCGCCACAGGTGCATGACTAAGTGAGCCGAGAAGGAGCGAACTGAAACGGCCAAGGTGTGGTACTGTATGACCGTGTCGTACATTTGTCTACCCTTCTCTCGATAGTGTGCGCCTAGAGGCGTGCTCATCAGGGCTCGCTGTGTAAGGAAGGCTCAATGATAAGCTCAGAAGAGCTCATTGCAGGTAAACAGAAAGGCGGGGCTCGATGAGCAAGCTGTCACATCATAGCCATGGTAAGCCCGAAATTGATCGGGCTTCCTGCCAAACGCTTTAATCTCCTTTATTACCTCGGCAGCGGGCGGACCGTATCGCGAGGTAGTGCTCCGCGCTTTTGGTCAACTGTTCTCCTTGCTCTCTTGTCACCAGACGAAACGTGGGAAAGAGTCTTTTTGCAAACGCTCGAAGAGCTCTGCGACCCTGGGTGCTCTTGGGGGCGTAAGGATGGCAGCAGCTTTGATACAACAGAGAGGGCCCACTTGATCTCGCAGTATCATAGTTACACCCCCACTAGGCGCAAACTCCAGCGCACATTCCTCCATCCTCCTCGAACCCACGAGGTATCATATCGGCACTTCATTTGTTGAGCCGGCAAGGTGGGCTGCGACGAGACAATCGACAGCCAAGATGGGATGAGCCACGGAACCGGATCACTTTGCATAGTTACCGAACGAGGCAACTGATTCGGACGAGGCTTTTGCTCCGTGTCTTCCCCACACTAAGTTGAGCTAGAGACAAAGTAAGCTCCCAGCGAAAGCCTCCTCCTTCCGTCACAATAGACCAACCTATCCCATCTGTATCCACCCCTTGAGAGTCGCAGTACTGCAGTCCGGCTATACGCCCACCGACATTCACTCGTGGGAAGCGGATGTCGAGCGTATATAAGCCGCTCGAACTTTGAATGATGTAGCCGCTTGTCTGAGCTGGATCTTGTCACACACCACACCACACAGCCCTCCCTCTTCCGACCATCACTCTCGGCTGGCCGAGACCGTAAACACTTCCTTTCTTCCGTCCATTTCCACTGCCCCCAACACTCAAATTGACGATGAAGATGTGGAAGAGCAAGACTTTAATCTTGCTGCACGTCGTGCTTGTCCTGATGCTCGCACAGTCGGCTCTCGCTGCGCTCAAGAACGAGTTCCCAATCTTTCCTCTTCCCGAGGAGGTGCCTCCCGAGAGTCAGGACGGCCGCAGCATCTACAGAGGACCCGTGAACGAAGATCTCTATCCCGCAGTGCAGCGTCCGGCTCCTATCGCACAGAATCTGCCTTCGTCCAAAGCAGGCACGCGGCCGACCCTGGTGGCGGCCGACATGGCGCGTGATCGAGACGGCGCTCTGGTTCCTGGCAGACCTTACGCACTCAGGCTCTCGCCAGAGACGAAGCCGACGGGCTGGAGAGGCTTGCTTCCCAACTGGAAGACCGGTGGTGTTACTTCGTCAACGGAGCAGTTGCAACAGCTTCTGCGGGAAAGGCGACCTCTTGAGGCCGTCTACAATCCCACTGCCGTTCCTGATACAGCTGCTCTCAGTCGCCCCTACTACAGCATCAAGCTTCCCGGTAACGGAAGGGACGCCGAGGTGCTCAAGATGATGCAAAAGAAGGGAAAGCCTTTCTACACCGTGGGCGCAAAAGGCAAGGTGTTTTACTTTGACACCAAGGATGGCAAGAGCTGGACATTCACCGACAAGGTTAGTGACGCCGATAGGCAAGGAGTCAGCGCCAACCTGGAGCAAGCCAACAAGCAGTACCAAGCGGCAGTTGCTGCTGAAGCGGAAGCACGAGCGAGAGTCCAAAACAGGATGCTGGCCAGGCAGCAAGCTGCTCGAGCTGCTATGGTGGCCAGAGAAGGCGCGGCGTCCTCTTCCTCGTGGCTTCAGAAGATCAAGGGCTGGTTCGGCTCGGCTCCAGACGTTCTGAGGCCAATCCACGTGTAGTGGCTTTACCTCCCTCCCAGCTGTTCGGGTGGTGCCGGCACCACATGCCGTGCGGCGACAGAGATCTTTTCATCCCACATGGCGTCACATCATATCGCAGTCCGGCACTGTTCACAATCCACCTTCATTAAACAATGATTGCAACAACCCACCGTTTGGTGGGGCTGTGTGAGTACTGTTTTGACTTCATACTCGCCAAGACTGCGGCGTAGGGAAGCAGTGATCGAAAAGATCGGGATCACGAGCCAGTGCGTCGTTTTCCCCGTCTTGTTTGCGGCTCATTTTGCTATCAGCTGCTCTGCACAGACAATACTACTATCGATGCAGGGTGGAAAAGCGCCCACTTGAGATCGCTTAGGGATATGAGTACGTGCTTGGAAGCAGAGCTGAGCCTTCTACACATAAGCTGGTCGCACCCACATGGTTCCGCTCTGCCCATTCTACAGTTCTGACTTCCTTGGCTCTTTCCCTTCTTTCGGTGTAGCCGGCCTCGCCTGACAACCAGCTCGTCATCACACTCATTTTCTCCCCTTCGCAGTCGTCCTCTCTTTCAAAACCAACCTGGGTCGTTGCAGCAGCCGGGAGCTCTGCAGCCTCGTTCAATTTCCACACGATGCTTGGCAACATTCTCCGGGCCTCTTTTCTCGTCCATCTGTTGCTGCTGGTCTGCGATGTTGCGGGTGCGCCCGTTCAACGAGGATCGTCTCTGCCTCCGATCCTCGAGAACTCGCCGTTTGGAGCGCAGCCCATTGGCACGGATCCAGCACTGATCCCGGGCCTAGAGGCGGCCCGAGCCAGAGCGGCTCTCCGCCGGCTGCAGGGTCAAAGTGCCTTCGCAGGACCGAATACCTTCCTCCCGGGCATGCGCGAGGTGACTTCAGCTCCCGCTGGCAAGGGCTCTGGTTCCGAGTCATGGTGGCCGTGGTCTGGGTCTGGGGCCGCCTCGACTGACGCCGAGATCAACGAGCTGCTGCACGCTTCACCGACCTCTCGAGCGGGCAAGGATATCTCGACCAACCCTGCTACGGTGGGCCGATCGTATCAGGCGGTGAAGCTGCCCGGTGAAGGTATGGACGCTCTGGTGGTGAGCAGGATGATGCAGCAGCGAAAGCCGTTCTTTGTGCAGGGCGCCAAGGGCCGTGTGTGGCTGCTGACGCTCACCGGCGACTTTAGCGCGTACCGTGCGACGCGACAGCAGGAGAGCGTAGCTGCGCTCGTCAGAGACGCTATCAAGAGCTGGCCCATTCCAACGGTCGCCATCCGCAACACGGCTGTTCCGCAGCAAGTGATCAGGGCCGGACGCTCCGCGGAGGCCAATGCGCCGCTGTGGGAACAGCTCAGCGATGCCTGGTTCGGAAAGGTCCGCCAGGGCGTCAAGTACATTCGTCCCGCCTAGGCCAAGCCCACCCCCCTATCGCCATGACGGTATGGTGGGAGACCGAAGTGCTCCCCACATTCCTTCCACTTTCTTTCAGCTCCCACTGTGACCGAAATCTTACCTTCAGTTTGCTTGCTCCTTTTGTCCGGACTGAGAGCCCACAGATAAGGTTCTCACCTTGAGAGTCCACGGATACGGTAAAGCGAGAACGTTTCGAAACTGATGCGCCTCATGAAGTGGGGCCGAGTGCACGGAGGAGTGTGCCGGAGGCTGTCGAACTTTCGGCGTCCGCCACACTGGGACTGCACGTGGGGTGAAGTGGGTACGAGGTGCCATCGAACAATTGCTGTGCTCGATCGAGTGCAGGGGTGCAGCATGTCCACACTTGTCCGGCGGCATCTTGTGCGCTCGCTCGTGGTCGAGCAGTCCCTTCAAATGCAGCAGCTCTTTCCGGCTTCGTCCACTCCTCTTCTCACTTAATCAGCTGGATCTCTCAAGTCACATCACTGTCTTTATACATCACCCTCTTTCGAAACATTACTCTCATTCTTCTACAAGTTCAGCAGGCTTCTGGACGCGATGCGTGGAAGGCTCTGCTTTGTGCTTGGTTTGCTGTTCGCCACGCTAGCCGTGGTGACCAGCGTGCCGCTTGTACGCGACGTCGACGCGCTTCAGCATGTTGCTGAGCAAGGCAGTCTCGGGCTTGACAAGCCGACGCTCGCAGGCGAGCAAGACGAGTCGCCAGACGATCCACTGTTCAAGCGCGACACGGATGCTGGGGTGGCAGCCAAGCCGCCGTCGACGAACCGCGAGCTGTCGCGGCTGCTGCGACCGGAAGCGCTCGGCGGGGCTACGCGCGACAAGCTTATCGTCAACACGATGGACGTTCTACATGGCCGACTTCTTGCGGTCAAGCTGCCTGGACGCGGGCTCGACTCGGGCGTGATCAATCGCATGATGCAGCAGGACAAGGACTTTCTGGTCGAGGGTGCAGGCGGCAAGCTGTGGCGCTTTATCAACCAGGGCGGGCGTCACTTCAAGCCCATCTCCCTACCGGCGTCTGATATGCTGCAGGGGTCGTTGCGCACTGGACCTGCACTGGCGACTCCGAGCCACGCGCTGGCCGACAGTGGACGAAGCACCATCGGCTCACGGTTGTGGGCTCGCGTTAGGGAGCTGTTCAACAAGCTGCCTGATAGCATCACGGCTGTACCCGTCGGGCGACTCGGCAAGCGCGACTCGGGTCTCAGCGATCCACCGTCGACGGACCGCGAGATGGCACGCTTGCTTCGACCGTCGGCGCTGGGCGCGCCCGTGCACGATCGACTGCTACTGAGCACCAAACCGGTTCTCGGGGGCGATTACCTCGCAGTGCAGTTGCCGGGCAAAGGCTACGACGCCCAGACGATCAATGTGCTGATGCAGCAGGACCGCCACTTCTTCGTCGAGGGCAAGGACGGCAAGCTGTGGCAGTTTGTCAATGCTGGCGACCGCACCTTTTCGCCCCGCGCAGTGTCGCAGCCCGGCATGCACTTTTTCAAAGACTCGCCTGTGCGCAGTGGCAGCACACATGCAGTGCCCACCTACGTGCACAAGTTCGACAGGGGCCTCAAGGGCTCCCTTTCGCGCGCGTGGAGTCGCATCCGTGCTCCGTTCACCAAGACCAAGCTTCCCGAGGCAGTACAAGCTGTGCCTCTGTCGAAGATCGTCAAGCGTGCGGGTGGTGAGGAGCCAAGAATCGTCGCGCCTCCGTCGACGGATGGCGAGATGGCACGGCTGCTGCGTGCTGAAGCGCTTGCATCCCCCACGTACGGTCAGGTAGCTGTGCGGCCAGTCGAACTGCTCCAGGGCCATTTCCTCGCGGTCAAGTTGCCCGGTAACGGGTGGGATGCGCAGATCCTCAACCCCATGATGAAGCAGGACAAGCACTTTTTCGTCGAGGGCAAAGGCGGTCGCGTCTGGCAGTTCGTCAACACCGGTAACCGCGTCTTCCGTCCAGAAGCCATGCCGCACTCGAAGATGAGCTTTGTGCGCGATGCGCTCGCGGAGCCAACGGTGCGCGTGCCGAACTTTGCCTATGCGCCCGAATCGGCATCCAGCTCGGGTCTCTTGGGTCGAATCAAGGGCGTGTTTAGCAAGCTGCCCGAGGGCGTTGAGGCGGTACACGTGCCTCTGCGCAAGCGCGCCAAGCCCGAAGTCCAGCCCAAGGTGCAGGCCATCATTCCACCACCCTCCTCGAACTATGAGATGGCACAGCTGCTTCGACCTTCCGCCCTGGGTGGCGCAGTGGGCAAGGTGAGCGTCAAGCCGATCAAGCTGCGTCAGCTGGGGCTTGTTGCGGTCAAGTTGCCCGGTAGCGGCTACGACAGCGCGGTGCTCAACAAGATGATGCAGCAAGACAAGGATTTCCTCGTCGAGGGCAAGGACGGCAAGGTCTGGAAGTTCGTCCGTAATGGCGAGGGCGTGTTTACGCCGCGGTACGTGTCGAGCTTGCGTGGGCTGTTCAACGGTCCAGGCATGCAGAAGGCCACGGTCACGACGCCCAAGACCATGCAGTACTTGCCACAGGTATCCCCCATCGAGCGCGTGTGGGTCGCGTCAAGGCGCTGTTCGGCAGACTGCCCAAGAGCGTCCAGGCCGTTCATCTGCCAGCTTAAGGTGCTCTTCATTTGCGCTTGGCCATGCCTTCGAAATATAACCCACGCTCGTTGCATTGATCCATCGGGCGCAGGCACACGGCTGAATGAAAAGTTTGAGCTTGTGCATCGAATCCCACGGCTGCTCAGAGGTGCGCCGCTACAAGTGGCGTCTCACCGGCAAGGTGGGCGTGACTTGGGTGGGATGAGGTTGCGTGCGGAATCATGACAATAGAAGCGAGTCTGCAGAAACCGCCGAAAGGTTGCCACACCGACAAAGGGGCATCTCCGAGACCGCCACCATGATGCCATCCGTGTTGATGAAAGGTGGGCTTTTCGCCTCTTCATGCGCCTCACGGGCGTTGGATGAGGATATAAAGCATCCAAACCTACCGCGGACCCTCCATCCTTCCCTCATCTTCCCCATTGCCTTTGTACGCTCTTTTCCCCTCATAATGCTGCCCAAACCTTCCATTGGGTTGGGAGGTCGCTGGTCGGCGTTCCTGCTTGTCGTGCTGCTCTTCTGCGTAGTCACGGCGGTTCCCATCGCACACACGAAGCGCGCCGACACTACCGGCGCACCAGACGCAGCCTCGGGTCCAGCCACGCTGCAGCGCAGTTCGAGCGCACCGCGGATCGAGACCGCTTCGGATGGTGCGACCGCTTTGCAGCGCAGTACGAGTGCGCCGCGGCTGTCGACTGGCTCGGATGCTGGGTCGCTCGCGCAGCCGCTGTCGAGTTTGGCTCACACCGAGTCTGACGTCGGACACAGCTTCAAGACTGCGCTGGACAGCGAGGACTGGACGCCGCCGAGCACGCCCCGAACGCCTCCGAGATATCCGCCGGGTGTGGAGGGCGAGGGCTGGACACGGCTGCGCTCTGTCGAGCCGTCATCGCCCGCATCGCAGAGCGAGCAGTCGGCGGGGCGCGGCGAGTATCCGAACACCTCGCCCTCTTCGTCTGCCTCGAGCGCGGGCGGGGCTGCAGATATCCACCCGGAGCAGCCAGTTGTGCCGGCGCCTCGCTTTCCGGGCATGAGGGACGGCGATGCGCCGCGGCTGATGCAGGCGCAGCGTCTGCCCAACGGCGCGCTCGACTCCCAGCTCAGCGGCGCAGCCAACGCGAACATCATGCGCGAGCTCAAGCAGACCGGTACAGTGGTCGTCTCGATGGAGGACCCGGCGTCGGTCGGAGGCATGCGGCTGTACGAGTACACGCTGGGCCGCTTCGGGCCGGAACGCACGCGTGTGCCTGTCACCACGATGTTCCTGGAGGAAGTGCGACACCTCGAGACGGGTGCACCCCTCGCCGCCACCGGTGGACGCGTCACCATTCCGCGGCCCATTGTTCCAGCCGAGCCTGCTGCGACAGGATGGCGCGGTAAGCTCGCGTCGGCACGCGAGGCACTGCGCAAGACGAAAGACGCCATCGCCGTCGGGCTGGACCCTCGTCTCGAGCACGTCTACACCACCCGTGGCGTGCCCGCCATCTACGGACGCACCGACCCGATTCTCGGAAAGACAATCCCCGTCGAGGCGCGTCGGCTCGCCCAGGAGTTCGGCCAGGTGCGCGTGTTTTACGACCTTTACCGGCCGTGGGACCAGACGAAGCTGGTGTATCGCGGTGGCGTGGTGCGCAAGGGTGAGCTGGCGCCCGAGTCGGCGTTTAAGGCGGTGGTCGTGCCGCGCGAACAGGCGCTGCCGCTGCCCAAAGCCTGGCAGGGTCACGAGGATATGGCACAAGACGCGCTTACGCGCATCAAGGCGATGGAGGCAGGCCAGTATGCCAAGGATGTCCCCCCGCGCTGGCCGAGCAAACTGCGCCAGACGCTGCGCGACCGCTGGGCGGCGTTCCGCACGCCAGCCGCTGCAGCCAGCCCTGCCAATGTGGGAGAGGCGGCTAGACCCGGCTTCAAGGCCGCAGCCAAGGGCGTGTGGGACAAGATCACCGCCAGCGCAACCGAGTTGAAGAACAAGGTGGCGGCGTGGAGACCCTCGATGCCATCGAGCGATTTGCTCTCCGCCATGCGTCCCGCCCATCTCTAGCCTCGTCGTGTCTTGAAATGCTTTCACTTTGTCTCGCTGAGCCAGGCACGGTGTGGGTAGAAGTGCGCATTGGCAGCACCATCTGCCTCTGCCCACTGGGCGTATGTCATCCACCTCTCGCTCCTCGCATCGCTGCTGAGACGCGGCCGTTTCTTGCGCGGCTTGGTGTCTGCGTCGTCGCGCACCGCACGTTCCGCCGCGATCTCACACGCCAGCACCACACCTGCATCCACGGCCGCGCGCTCCGGATCGGCGGGCACAACGATGCGCAGGGGTACATCGGCGGGTGCAAGCGGCGCGAGCTCGGCGTGCAGGCGGCGTCGCATGTTGACCGCACCCGATAGTCCGCCCACCAGCACGATGTTCGCCCACATCATGTCGGCCGCTGTGCGCAGCGAGGGGGCCGAGTGCGCAACGGCACCGATGGCACTCGCAACGAGCTCCGGTAGCCCCTGCTGGTCGAGCTCGAGCGCGGCAGGGTTGAAGAGGTGCTCCAGCATGCTGTATCGCTCCGACTCGAGGACGAGCGCCTGCACCTCGTCCTGCTCTTCCGCATAGTCCCGCCTGCCCGACGAGCCCTCGAACCGCGCGATGAACGCCGACTCCCACTCCACATCCTCCTGGCTCCCCTTGCATGCAGGGTTCGGACCGTCGACGATGTACCCGTACCGCGCACGATCGCGCTGCACCTCCCCAGCCCCTGGCGTCGTCCCGCCATAGTCCGGCAACCTCCATGTGACCGCCACACCACTGCTGGCTCGTTGCTTGGCGAGCAGCATGAGATCGTTGTACGTCCACAGCGCCGCAGGTGTGTCTCTGATCCTGGCGAGGTGGTTGTCATTCGCGCCGTAAGACCGTGCCCCCACCTCGGCCGCAACGAAGCTGGTGTGTTTAAAGATGTGGGTGACGAGCCAGGACTCGTCCATGGTGTCGAGCTGGCGGAAGGAGAGCGTCTCTTTGAGCAGGTTGATGAGCATCTTGGCGCCGAGCTCGAGCCTGCGCACGGCGGGGTAGACGACTTGGCCATTGACGATGGGCACGGCGTGGCAGAACGAGTAGCCCAGATCGAGCACCAGCATGCTCTGCGGCCGACGTGGCGCGAGCACGCGCGGCAGAATAGCCGCTTGCCCCTTGTCTGCGGCTTCCGGTCTTGCGGCACGAGGTCGTTTGGACCCCGAGGCTGCCACTTGCGCTCTGTCTGCGCTGGAAGATGCTTGCAGCGGGTTGATCGGGCTGGACGTTGCGAACGCGGGGGTGCCCAGCCCCACGAGCGCAGCGGGGGTAGTCCTCCATACTGCGCTTGCGCCGTAATGCTCGAAGAGCAACAGATCCGTGGCGTGCTGTGCCGGTTCGAGGTTGAGGTACGTTTCTGCGATGACCACCGCCTTGCCCGCCAGCAGCTTGCCCTTGGGCGTCTTTGTTCGCTGCGGCAGCTTTGCGAGGTGGCTGGCGAGTACATGGTCCCAGATGGTCTTTTGAGCGGCCCAGTCGACGATGACACCGCTCTGGTGGGGCAGGCGCAGATGCAGCGCGGCGTAATCGTCGAGCAGCGTGTGGATGTGCGACGAGACGAACACGCTCGTCTTGGTGCCGGGAGCGGGGGCGGTGGGAGAGAGTGACGCGGCATGCGGGGAGACGGTGTGCGGAGAGCGCGTGCGTGCAATGGCGTTGGGAAAGACATCCACCGCGATGGACTGAGCCAGCAGGGTCGGGTCCAGAGGCGAGGTGGATGAGGCGTGGATGGGAAAGGGGTAGGGTATGGTGGCGATGCGGATGTTGTGTGCGCCATTGTCGATGACGAGGATGTGGTCTACGCCTGCGAGGGGATCCAGTGCGTCTGGCGGGCCTGGAGAGGCGGTTGCTGCGGATGTTGAGGCCGGCATGGTGGTTGAAGGTGGACAAGAAGCGTCGGCAGCCACTTCTTCCAACTTGGACCCTGTCGAGCGCCTCGAGCCTCCACTCGCCATTTCCTCTTCCGACAAAAGTTTCGATCAAACATTCCCCAAAAATTCCCGCTCCGGTCTCTCCGACTTCCGCTCACTTTTCGGGGTTCCTTCTCCTCCACACCCGCCCGCGCTCCTGCCTCTTGTCGAGCTTCGCGCCACTTTGCAGCACCGCTATCTTGCCGTCAGCATGTCATTCGGTCGGCCACCCACATTCTCGGACTTCAAAGTGTCTCCGCCCGAACGCGGCTCGTTCCCACTCGACCATGAAGGTAAGGCCCGCCTGCCTTCTCTCCTCTCCAACCCATGGATTTCGCGGCTGACGTTGGTGGTAAAGGCGAGTGCAAGTCGGTCATGCAGGAGTACATGGCGTGCATCAAGGCGCACCGCAACGATAACGGCAAGTGTCGCCATCTCAGCAAAGCCTATCTCCAGTGCAGGATGGACAAGTGAGTCGCTCCACCCCCCGCCCAACATTTGAAAGCCTTGTACTGACGTTGGGATGTGTAGGGGGTTGATGGATCGAGACGATATGGATAATTTGGGCTTCAAAGGCGTTGGTTCCGATGCAAAGGATGCGGCGAATGCATCACCAGCGGACGCAAACAGAGCAGTGGCAGATGCAAAGAGCACGACGAGCAAACAGGCCAGCGGTGCAGACGACGCCCCGAGATCAGCAGGCAATCGGCTCGTGTAATGCCATCTACGTCGTGCGAGCCCCGGATGACAAGGACGCTCGTGCTGATTCGGCGCGTGGAGATACTCGAGGCCAGCTTGAAAGGCGTCAATATGCGGGTGTAACAGGGTGCTTTGACTGGGTCGGAACGATCTTGCTTCACTGCGCGGGTGTTCCGAACGATGCCCACTACCAAAGAGCATCTTCACCTTGTTCGCAGTTGTGCCGCCGACGAATCGGCGATCTTTGACTCTGCGCGCGTGTCAAGCGTGCATGCCTGCTCCGTCCATGTGTCATGCAGGCAATCTCCCATCGTCCGCAGTCTCGCTCATCTTCACGATTCCAGCCCATGCACGTCGACATGACGGTCACGAATCTCTATACATTGCCGGATGCCTACTTGTACTGGTTGACGAAATCCGAGTGGAACTTTCCGTAGCGTTCAATAAACTCGTCGGTCTCCTTGGCGAGCACAGTGGTCCTAAAGAAGCACGCACCCGTCTCCTCCTCTGGCATCTTACCGAAGCCGCTGCCGGGTACGACGCAGATGCCCGTCTTGTCGAGCATTTCGAGGCAGTAAAACTCGTCGACCTTTTTGCCCTTTTGCTTGGCTGCCTCGTGCGCCCCCTTGGGCAGCGTCACCCTCGGGAAGAGGTACAAGGCGCCCTGAGCGGGTTCCACCTCGACGCCTGGCAACTCGGCGAACTTTTTTGCCATCTTGTCCGATCTCGACTTGAGGGTTGCGTGGATGCCCTGCGTCTCCTGCTTGTACAGCTCGTACGAAGGCTCCCCCTGCGACGGAGGCTTGACCAACATATCCACACCAATCTGGCCCTGCAGCGACGGGCAAAGCGAGATCGAGGCGAGCTTGTAGATCTCGGCCTCTACACTGGCGTCTATGTTGGTCAGCTCAAAGTAGCCGCCCCTACGACCACACTCGCCCGAAACACCCTTGGAGATCGAGTGGAACGAGACGAGCTCCACACTGCGCGCGATTGCCTGGTCTTGGGCGGCGTTGCTCTTGCTGAAATCCAAGAGCACCTTCTTGAACGAGTGGAACGGACGCGTGTCGGGCTGATAGATGTTGGCCTGGTACACCTCGTCTGCCAGCAGCACGACGCGCTTGGTGTAGGCCATGCGCACCAGGTCCTGGATGTTTTCATACGACAGACACTGACCAGTCGGGTTGCCCGGGTTGATGACTGCGCAGGCACGCACATCGACACCCTTGGCACGCGCCTCGTCGATGGAGCGCGACATGGCCTCGACGTCGAGCGACCAGTCGTCGAAAGGGTTGAGGTCGTACTTGACCGGCTGTGCATTGTACAGTGCCAGCGCAGCGCTGTAGAGCGGATACTGCGGGATGGGGATCATGACGCCCGAGTCCGGACCGGCAATGATGACCTGGAGCAGCAGCTGCACACCGCCACTCGCGCCCGTCGTGAGATAGATCAGCTCCGGGTCGGACTTGTAGCCATCACGCTGCTCGATGAACTCGGCGACGTGCTTGCGCACCACAGCCGCACCCTTGGAGTGCGAGTAGGCGCCGACGCTGCCGATATCGTCGAGAAGCAGCTTGGCGCGCTCCTGCGTATCGGCGGGGAAGATCTTGTCGATGCCCGGCTGCTGCATGAGCTCGGGATACTCGGTGAGCGCTGCGACCTGGCGCCAGAAGGTGAGCGGCTTCTGTGCGAGGTAGGGCTGCTGCTGCGGGTTGCCGATGTTGGCGGTGACGACCGAGCTGAAGGGGAGCTCGTCCGACTTGCCCTCGGCGATCTGGGCGGCATACTTGTTGGCGCGGTTCGAGATCTCGCCGCGCACGGCGTACTCGGCCTCGAGCACGTGCGGGTTGATCGACTTAGTGGTGAGCACGGGCTTGTACGTGGCGGCGGCGTTCTTGGACGACGATGCGAATCCACGAGAGGACGACGCCTGGGTGGTGTACGACGAGCCGTACGCCGAGTCGACGGCCATCGAGGACGACGATGCGGACGAGGCGGACGATCGCGAGAGGGAGCGGTCCCTGGGCAGGGTTGCGGAGCTCATGACGCTGAAAGGAGCGGCGGCAGCAAAGGGAGACGACGAGGATGAGAGTCGGATGGATGGGGAAGAGAGGCAAGAAGACGACGACGACGACGACGACGACGA